CATTCATATACAGGACAAAACCCCAATTTTATTTTTTGTATTTCAACTTTGCTAACAATAGTGCCAAGGCTTAAAAATGGAATTTAAAACAGTAAAGTCAATTTTGGTAGCCAAAAAAAAGAGAGTGACAAACAAACTAATGCGGATCCATCAGGGATTTATGTGTCTAAAATGCGTCGTTTTCCTGAGTTTTAAAAACAACTCAATTCACTTAATTGCTTGCCAATAAATGTTTTCAATTGAACTGTCTATTGGTTATTTTCTCAGAATGATAATTGCAGAAGCTTATCATATTCATTTTGAAAATAAATTCTCTTATTTTAGAATTATCAAATATTTGAGCATGCCGATGGTATCACTGGACTACAGTCATTTCCTTTATTTCAAAATCAAAAACAATACTTAAACATATTGCTAATATCACTGGCTTAGAGTCCTAATCAAAATATTAGCTATATATGTAGAATGTTTTTTAAGTTTTAATTATTTTCCTTACAAGTCTCCACTATCAAGTGAATCTCATAAAAAAGAATTTAAAACAAAATTATCTTATACTCACTGTGAATTGAATAGCTACACTTGGAGAATGTATTTTGTACGTTTTAATTAAGTTAGTTAACAGACACCATTCTCTTCATATAGCATATGCTTTCCTTGTACTTGGGTCAAGACGGATTTGAGCTTTTAGCACTTCAAAGATAACTGTTGTGTTTTTGTTCCAATTTTGTTGTTTCCAACAAAAAGACACTGGGGAAACGATGAAAATGAACTGTTTTTGTCACAGCAGAAAAGTTTTTTTCTTCGGCTTTTTTATTTTGTATCCCAAGTGTTTTCTTTTCTGCACACTCTCTCACACTGTTGGCGCTTATCACACGTCAAAGGCGCTTTTTGTCTTTGCCCAAATCTGCTTTCATTTGAGCTGTGCCTTGGCTTTGGGGCGAGCTGCGTGTAAAAAGTTCTGTTGTATAAACATTGTGTGATTGTTAGAAAAACATGTGCCGCTGGCATACAAAAACTTACACACACACACTCATACTTACATTAAATGGAGACAAAGACAAACTCATCAAATTGCGCCATCGTCTGCATATGTGATTGTTGTACTGCTCCTCATCGTCGTCGTCCTTCTTTATGATGAAAAATCACATATTTTTTCCACACATTTCACTGTGTATCTCTTTGAGTGTGTGTAAGTGTGTGTGTGCGTGTGTGTGTGTGTGTGCGTGCGTGTGTGTTTGTTTGTGTTTGTTGGCATAAAGTCTCTTTTATAGTCCTCAGATTAGGTTAATCCTTTCGCTGTTTGCCATTGCTATTGCCGCTGTTGTCCTTTGTTCTAATGATGGAAATGCGACGAGCACGCCGTTAAAGAGCGTGTGAAAAGCATGGCAATAACTCTTTTAGCCCCAACTTGACGTTGCCTCTTGGCCTAATGAAAGCAGTTACAGTTTATGTTGCGCACACAAACAGAACTGACGTGCACCAACACACACTCACACACAGCATTGGTGTACTTAATGAACTCGCTGGGCTTACAAAGCAAAAAAAAAAGTAATGAAGAAAAAAACTCAAGACTTGATAATCACACTGAAGCAGACGCCACGTCGAGACGCCTCCCGTTGTCAACTTCAGATCCAATGCCGCCCTTCATACAAATCCCTACCAAACTGAAGCAGCAACAAAGTTCAACATAATTTACGATGTATTAAGCGATTTTAAACATAAACTTGCTGTTGTTGCTGTGGTTGCTTTTGCTGCTACTTTTTTGCAATAGTCGCTGCTTAGATAGGCAAGCAGATAAAAAGGTGTGGCATATATCAAAATCACACATACATACACACACACAGACACACACTCAACAGCACACCCACTCTCATTTTTAAGGACGCATGCAGTTGACATGTGCGTTGATGTTGATTAAATTAATGAAATAAATTATGAGCTGCGTCGCGGCTTCTGTCTGCTTTTTAAATTGAGTGCGCGCCATCTTGAAATTAATAAAGTGCCTGCGTGCCCCTTGACTGTGGATGTGGGCGTGTCTGCCACACACGTGTGCAGCACACTCTGTCTTTTCTTTGCCTTGCTTTTTAATTTCGCATCAAAGTAAATATAGTGCTTAAGCCAACGACGGCGTTAAGCAAGGTGACAGCTGAGGTGACGTTGTCTGTCCTTTGATTTATGCAAGGCCATAGATGACTTTGTAACAGCATTATGCATGCCACAATTTATGCAGCTGCTTAACAAGATATGCATTTCATTACGCATACGCCGCATTGGCCATGTAATCGCAAGTGCAAGCAAAAAACGCACACGTCTTCATAGTGAAAACGTTTCCAGAAATATATGCGTGCTCGTTTCCCTTACAGCAGTCATGAATTTCTAAGTTAATGCCATAAAAATCAAAATTGTATCGTGATCTTAAAGTTAACGTGCAAAAAATTATTTATATTTAATAATATTAAATTTGATCTTTGGCAAATATTACAATCATTACACAATGTATTTTTTTTTAGTTATATTTGTAAAAAAAAAATGTGTATTTAATTTATTCCATGGAATACAACTATAGTCAATAATTCGTTAAGCACATAGTATCAAAATATAAACTGTGAAGCTATTTATTTATTTAACTATTTATTTTTTTCTGAACATTTTTTCCCATCCAACTTCTAACAAATTGAAAAATAATAAAATCATTGAATTAAAAAAGAAAATTATAAATAATTATTCATTATGCGATTGGTTTCAGAGCAAATAATTTATTGTTTTTATTTTACTGCAATCAAGTACAGAATGTGAATAATTGACAAAGAACATAAATAATAAAGAGAAAACTCTTAAAATGGGATTTTGACTTCAGCTCTCCAGCCAACTGTAGCAATTGTTCGCATGTGCACAAATCCATGTATTATGGCTCCCATATTTTTTTCTCAGTTCGCAGCACAACATTCCAAAGAGTTGTTGCAGTTGTTCTTGTTGCTCTTGTTGTTGTTAAGGAGAAGTGCAATAGAAACAGAAGACTAGTGCTTAACCCCAAGAACTGTGTGCAATGCAATGCAATGCAATGCAATGCAATGCATTTAAGTCCGATTACTATGAAGACTCCTTCTTAGTCTCTATCCCTCGCTGAGTACATATGTGTTGTTGCTTCTGTTGCTCAATGGAGTTACCAGGATATCAGCTAGAACATTTTGGAATGCTCATCTGTAGTTTGTGGCAGCTATCGCAATGCAATCGCTCTGGCAGTGCAACAAAAACAGTAACAATGCCTGTGGCATTAACAAAAGCCATCAAATTAGCAGACGCACATATGATACAGGATGACCTGCCTATGAGCATTCGACAAAGAAGTGGGTTCGTTGCACAATGCACCAATACAACAGATGGAGAGAGTGCTTGTGAGAGAAGGAGAGAAAGAGGGGAAAAATGCCGACATAGTGTTTAGCTAACAGACAGCTTGGACCTCAGGCAGTTGCAAGATATTTGTTACCTGACAGGTAGCAGAGTGTGCTCCATTTGCAGTTGCTCATACATATGTACATACATACATATATAAAACATGATGTATTTCGATAGCAGCACAATAGCCTGAAGAGAAATTAGTATGATTCTTGCATGTGCATGTTTTACAATAGAGAAACATTTTTTGAACAGCTCATACACACCCAAAAGGTTCATTGCCTATTTATGCTAAAGAACGTTGTGGGATGGTCAAATTGTATTAAGGTTTCCTTCAATCAGTCTCCACTCACCACTGTAAGCGTGTTCTCATACTCTGATACCGAAAGACATTGTGCAATGTCCGTCGTGTAGTTCATCCTTTTGACACCAGCTTTTTTCGACACCCTTAACGCTAGAGCCTTGAAGCTTGGAACACGTATTGGTCTGTGCCCGCGTCAGACAAAATGTCAAACAATATCCACTAGGAAGCTAGGAAATCGACCAAATCGATAAGGCCATATATCTCCCACAATTTAAATGCTATTGTCATCAAATTCGATTGTTGTGATTGTCATTGATTGTGCTTCAAATATCTTCAAAATCGATCTTTCTGAAAGTGTAAATCGATTAATCCGCATATCTCCAACAATTTTAAAGATAGAGTCGCCGAACTTGTGTGGTAGCCTGCTTATAATGTCCTTCAATGATCGGATGACCACATTCGCTGCTTCCAGGAAGAAATTTGGTATTGGAATCACCAAATTTTAAAAGTATGTTACCGGTAGCTCCCTTGAAGGATCGATAAAAGAAAATTGGATGGCACAGAATCCGCCTCCCAGAAACCCACATACTTGATGGGATAATTCATTATATATCACGCACAAAACTTCGAAAGCTATATTGCTAATAATACACTTAGAAAAGATGGACATATATATTTGTGGACCAAGCCATATATTTTCCGCAATTTAAGAGCTAAAGTTACCAAAATTGGGAGGTAGATTACTAGAAACCTCCTGTCAATTTATATCTTCCGCAATTGGAAGGTTGATTACAAAGCAACTCCTCCAACATTTTTTTTTCAGCCACGCCGCAATCTTAAGGCCAATATTCGAAGGTAGATTACTAAGAACCTCCCTCAAAGATCGGTATTTCATAGCTACACACCCCCCGTTCTCCCCATTAGTATCAGAGTGTTTTGCAGTCGGCTATGCAACTTCTCACATTTTTCCTATTTAATTATTGATAAGCTTTAAATTGTTTTGAAATTAATTATATTACTAGCATTCTCAACTATCTACTTATATCTGAATGTTATGATGAGTCAGTTTTAACTCGACACTGCGAATTTTTCTTCTCCTAATTAACTCTTGACTAACTTCGAATTCATTAGAAATCAATTTCACCACTATTTCTCCCTGCATATAGTTTTCTCAATTGTAATATGTGAAAGTTATGAAGATGGTTGTCAAGACTGAATCGCCTTGCAGATGATATTGTGTCGCTTGAGAGCAAGTGGATTTATAATTGGAAAACAATTTCAATTAGTTGACAACGTTATGCAAATTACAAAGTGACATTTATTCAGTAGCAAAATCCGAGCAGTAACCTAATTAAATACTAGAAATCATAATCATTATATATCGTCGTCATCATCATCTATGACAGCCAGACGACGTCGCTTGGCCGTCTTCTCGGTGCCGGCTGGCTTTTTGCGTGCCAGAAAATTGATATCCTCATCCTCGTCATCATCAGCATTGTCATCGTCATCGGTATCGGGCTCATCCCGTTCGGCATCCTGCTCATTGTCGCTGCGTGGGCGCTTGTTTGCCTTGGAAGCAGCCATGGCGCCAGCAACAACATCAGCATCGGCATCACCATCGTTATCGCTATCCGAGTCAATTACATTAGCACGACGTGTGCGATGCAACGATGTAGATGTGGATGAGGCTGCCTTGATTGTGTTATTCGCCAGCAATGTGGCATTCTCTTTATCATGCTCCATTGGCGACACGCCGTCAGCTGCCTGTTCCTCCTGCTCCTGCTCCTCAAGCTCCAGTAGCCGTGCCCGATAGTCTTCCGAATTGAAATTGAGTGCATCATCATCGTCCTGCTCAGCTGCTGTTTGGCTTGATTCACTCTCAACCATATCCTTTAATTTGATTTTAGTGGCACGCTTGGCTTTCAATTGTTCAAATAAATCATCTGTATTGAGCTTGCTAGACTGCTGCTGCTCCTCCATCTCTCCAGCCGACTCCTCGCTGGACACATCAGGCTGTCGTTTTTTCCGCGCCAATTTGTGCGCTATTTCATTGATTTCGTGCTCCTCCATTTTCTGTCTGGCTTTGGTGTTGCGCGAACGCTTTCCTTTGGCTTTTGTGGGCGCTGCACGGTGCTCTGCCGCCTCGTCGTCGTCGTCGCTTTTGCTGTACATGAGGCTATCCAGTTTGAGCTGCTGCTGTTTCGTTATATTCACAGCTGTAGCGTCCAGACGCTGCCTACTGCGCTTATCCAGATAGTCCTCCTCTTCGTCGTCATCATCATCATCAGCAGCTGGTTGGGGTTCCTCATCGCTGTCATTGTCTTGTTCCACTTGTTCACCGGCTACAATTTTGGCTCGCAGCTTAAGATCGGCTGCATTCAGATAGCCTGGAATACGCCAATAGCTCTCCATGCCCACAATGGGCGGTTGCATGCCCAGAGCGACGAGAACCTTTTGAAAGTCACCCAGCTCCATGGCATCCTTTTGTATATCGAGCAGTGGCAGCAACGGGACCCCATCATCATCATCATCATTATTCCCGTCAGCCGCATCGAAATCCTCGCTGGCATCCTCGAGACTCTCCCTTAGCCAGTCAAATGCTTCCTGATACACTTCGGCATCCACCTGTGAAATTAAGCCACGCACTGTGCCCACATCTAAAGGTGTTCGAACGCGCTGCTTGGGCTTTGCTTTGACTTTGGTGGATGGTTGCCTAGGCACCACCGCCTTCCCAAATGTCGGCTCCTCCATGTAGTCGTCATCCTCGTTCTCGCTGTTGCTGTTCTGCTCCTGCTGTCCTTTGGAGTGTTTGCGTCCGCCCTTCGTCTGCTTGGCGGGTAGAATCTCTGATTTGTCGGCTATAAATGCAGCTGCAGCATTCGCTTGATAATCTGCTGCTTGTTGCGACGCGCCTCAAACTCACGCACAATGCGCTCCAGGCAATCTGTGAAACAACGGAAAAAGCAAAAGGTACTCTAAATATGACACATTTATCATCATATATATTCCAACCAACACTCACCCGGTTCCAAGCGATGCTGATCATATAAGCTGCTTAGCTCCTCATCCTCTTCCGGCGGCCACAGGTTCTTGCCACCCAGGGCCGCTTTGGTGGAGCGCTTCGTTGGCGCTTTGAAGAGCAGACTCATTTCCTTTAGTTTTTTTAGAATGCCGCGTCGAGTGCGTGTCTTGTCTACCAAATTTTCTAGAATCCAATCAATCACATCTGAAAGGACACACACAAACAATTTGATTGAAGCTGTTGCTTTTTTGCTCTTATTTTTTTGTTTTCTCTTGTTAAGGGTATTTTAATTTTGTCCTGGTATGTGTAAGGTATTCTAGTATACTTTTTTGACACTACAATAGAGTATCAGTAAATATCTCTACAAAATTTGGAATGATTTCGTCAATTAAATTCCAATTTGTTAAATTGTTTATTTACAGTAAGCAAAGCTAGTTTCTTTTTATAATTAAAAAAATGTTCATTAATAATTTGTAATTTTAGGATGCTAACTAGTGGCCAAAATGTCTTTTCTTTTCTCAATCTATTATTATATTTGACTATACTCTATTTAACCATAAATTAGTTCCTGAACTTGAAGGTTTTTATGTCAGATTATGTATGTCTGCCATACTTAAGCAAACACTTACTATAATCGGATAACAAAATCATATGGTTCCCATGGGAGTTTCTTGATTGTCCCCTTGACACCAACATTTAAGTGCATTAAATAATAATTTAATATTGTCTCTATTTAAGATAGGGTACTTAATTAGCGACGTGCCAAAATTTCTATTCTTGCTCGTTTTGCTATTGAATTTTTTTATTTATTTTTTTTATGTTCTTTCTTTGATTGGTTTCATTCATTTAGCGTAAATTGGGTTTTAATTTACAGCCGCAAGGCATAGAGAGCAGCAGTTTGGGCCAGTCAGTGGTTGAGTAGTATTTGTCATAGTTACCCTTATCGGTTTCGGGATTCCGTTGATTCTCCTCGAAGAGGAAACGCAGCTCCACCTCCTGTTCCTCGGTCCAGGCGCCCTTGGTGCCGCTGTCGAAACAAATGAATTGAATAGAATGTTAAGAGAACAAGTTGTTCAGACTGTACTCTCATCATCATCATTTATCAACAACTGCTGCTGTTGCTGCTGCTGCTGTTGTTGGTGGTGCTGGTGGTGGTGGGCCTGAAACTAGTCGCCAAACTAACTGACAGGCGCAGACAGAAATGGCAGCCAACAACAACGGCAGCTCAGTCAATCATGTGCCCATTGTGCTGATGGCCCTTTAACCCCAAAGTGACAGAGGGACACACACACACACACACACACACACAGACAAACCACCCGACTCATCCCAAGTCGTCTGGTGTCATACTCACGTTTCGTAGGCATCACAATAGCCCGTCTCCAGCTCGTTGGCCTCTCGTATGCCTTTGTAAAATAATAACTCTGCATAGATTTTTGGATTAGTTGGTGCCACTTCGACAAATTTGCGCAGCACATAGATGCCCAGGCGGCGCAGCTCCTCCTGATGGGCATCACGTTCCACGGCGAAGACTTGTTGAAAGATGCGAAACAGCTTGGCCTGTGGAAAGGAACGGAGAGATGGAAGATGTTCGAGTAAAGGACAACGCCACTTCATATTCAAATGAAAACTGACGACAAAGACAGCTAGCCACAAGTTGAGTGTTTTTTCATCGGGTTTGGGCCTTCTGCTTTGAGGCATCGACTGCCTGGCTGCGGTTGCCGCCTGCGGTTCGCCTGTGGCTGCTGCCAAAAGAAGATATCATTTGCAGTCCGCAAAACTTTATAAACGTTCCCCCGTCTCCGCAGTCTCCCCAGTCTGTTTAGTGTTTTGTCTGTTGTGTGTGTGTATCGTTGGTCCTTGTCTGCCTGTCCTTCGTATTTGGAATTTAATTTATCCTATGATTGCGCAGACCCATTAGTGGTTTTGACTTTGCATATGATGCTACTTTTGTTTTCCGCACTGCTGCTGCTGCTGCTACTGCCGACTATATATCCTCTTGATGGAAGCTGGACATTGAGATGAGCGGCTGTGGTCGTCTGTCTCCCTGTGCAGCTGACACAAAACCGGCTTAGATGCCAACGATATGCAGCAGTAGCAGTCTGGCTGTCTGGTCTGTCCGGTCTGTCCGGTCTGTCTGACCAGCCATATATATTTATGCAGAGTTGACTCCGCTCATATGTCTGGTCTGGATAATGTGCCATCTCTTGGTTACTTTAGTGATCAGGACCTCAACATGGCATCTAGCTTACAAAATACGGCTTAAGCTGTAGCAACGAACAGACTTATGTAATGATTGGATGGCAGGCAGCTGGAGTTGGGAGCCTCCAAAGTCGCCGCCTGGCGTTGAATGTGATTTATGAACTCTGCTCAAAAGAAAAGTTTAATTGCCAGCCGTGGAAAGCAGCCGCGAAACGCGCACAAAAGAGCCATACAAAACGAATCGAACAAAAAGTAAAAGTTACACACAACAACAAATACACCTCAAAGAATACTCTAAAAAAAAATATATATCTATATTTAAGTCAGAATTCTAAAGCATCTATTAAAACGGAAAAACATTTTATCTGCCATCAAAATAAATAATAATAAATTAATTATATATATAAAATATATAATATATATTTTAGGCTATTCTCATTATTTGGAATTCTGTACAGATTAATATGTTTACAGCAATTCAAAAATAATTTAGAAAACTAGCTCAGATTTAATTAAATAGCTGAAAATTTAAGACACTTGACTCAGAGCCTAATCAAATCTCCGAGTACTTAGTTGTCAAGTCTCATGTGATAACCTAGTTACCTTATACCTTATAACCGCGACAAGCAACACAAACAGGCATATTTAAATGCTTGACTCCCCGCAACCCCTGCAACTACCACAGCAGCAGCAGCAGCAGCAGCAGTTAAAAAGTAAACCCAAGCAATGCTGCGGCTCAAGGCGCCGCGTAAAAGGCTTAAAAAGTTCAAATTCCAGCTGACAGCAGAAGAGCTAAAAATGGGACAAAGGAGGAATGGGTGGGTACTGGGGGATGTTGTGGCAAAACTCGTTGAAAAATATAAAGAACGCGCAGTAAATATCGTTTGTGGTTGGCACAAATAGAAAAAAGGTTCGCTTAATTTGTACAAATTACCATAGAAATGAAACCAGCGAAAAAATGGGCGCCTCAACGCAGAAAGACAGACTGGAACCGGGAGTCTGTAGACTAGAGTAGGAGCGCATTTTTTTTTTTCTATGGCATTTGACTTTGATTTATGTGCGCCCGGATCGAGGGCGCGGCGAAAACAGAATTAAAAACAGCAGGAGGCAAAGGAGCTAACAGCGAACAGCCAAAACAGGCGGCTAAAATCATTTGAGTGTCGCCTTTAGAGGGGCATTTCCCACACTTACCTGGTATAGCATGCCTGGACAGGAGCAGCCGTAGGCAATGCGATGCAGGATGGTAACAGCCGCTTTCAGCGCCGTCGTCGGTATCCTTGTCCAGTCGGTCAGTACCAGGGTGCAGGCGTGCACAATTTTTGGATGCAGCAATCTGTATTTGTGGAATCAAATGGAAACGAATCAAATGAAAGGCAAACTGCAAGAATGAGGGGGGGTTGCGTAAATCAGGCAGGCAGTCAGTTGATTCTACACAAGTCTACAAGTCCAATTAAATTATGCAAAATTTAACTAATTATGATTTAAACGTTTATCCGGACCACAAAAACTTTTCAAAATACACAGCTATCAAAATAGCGGGCACAATTTAAACACAAGCCACAACGCAAGCAAACTTGACGCCATTTTATAATCAAATTGTTGTTGTTGTTTTTAGCTGTTATTGTTGGGGCCATTTAGAAATGCTCGCAGCTAAGCGCTGCACCGCCCCGCACCCTTGCCTTCCTCCTCTTGGCACAAGCCCCCCATTCAACAGCTGTGTGCGGCACAAAGTTTGGCGTCCATAAAACTTTTGGCACAAGTAATTTTAGACGCTAATCCTTAATTAGTAGCCACGAGCAAGTGGCGTTGCTTCACTTTCTGTGCTCGCCTTTCAATTAAAATTACAATTACAATTTTCAACACGACCATCAATGCAAACCGACAGCAAACGGTCAGAGAACTTTTCAAATAACACAGCTATAAAATGTGGCTAATAAAAAAAAAAAAAAAGAGGAAAATAAAATATTTGGAAACCTAATACTTAAAATGCCTGCGGTTGCAAATTATTTCCTGGGCCATGAAACAAATCAACGTTTGTGGAGCTAATTTACCTGCGAGCGAAATCGTCAAATTTGAATGTTTTCTCTGTGAGTCCATTATCTGTTTAGAAACAGGCAAATGCCATTAGTTTGGAAATGTTTTCAATTTTTTCAGCTCGATTTTCAATACTTGCCTGGCTCATCAAGCTCCTCCTCATCCTCATCTGCATCTACATCCTGATTACCATCGACATTCGCCTCTTCTGCGGTTTCAACTGCAAACGAAAATAATTAATTAATTTTCACTCAAAGCACCCTGTAGCAATTAGAGTGATAGCTCAAGGCTACTTTAAAGTAACTGAAAGCCGATGAAATGTTCGATTTTTATCGTACAAATTAAGGTAGCAATATCAAAAGCTGATTCGGTATACAAAATAATAATGTACATGATTGATTCTCATAAAATCATACTTATGCAACTTATCTAACTATTTTCAACGAAAAAAATTCCACAAATAAAATGGAATGGCAATGCTTATGTAGATTCTAAAAATATTTAACGTTTTAAACTTCCAAGCTGAACATTTGGTTTAATGCTGATTAGTCAGCTTTCAACTATATGTTTATATACAGCATCATTCCGACAAAAGGGATCTACAACATTAAACTGAGCATAAAGTCGGCACTAATTGTTAGTGTGCCATTCCCTGATATGGACTGCCCTTTAAAAGGCACCACTTAAAAAGTAAATCATCATTGAGTGGCTCTACCTCAAATGAATTTGTACTGATTTCAGTCAGAACAACAAGCGCTTGGCAAATGGCCATTAACAATAATTACGACGGCTGCAATGCACAAACAAGTGCACTTCAACAGCAGCCCACACACTCGCACACACACACACACACACATCCATACACACGCACACACACACACACACACACACATACATACACACACACACATACACAAATACAGTTACGCTTGGTAACGAGTAAAATTGTTGCTGTTGGGCAGCTAAAGACTTAGTCATACTTTGTTCGCACAATAAAAAATCCGATTTTCTAATTTGGCATGAATATATTTGACAGTCTGCATTTTAGAAGTTGGCTTATCAAGAATACTATCTTTTTAGTTACTCAAATATATAAATACTAAATTATATATGTTATTTTATAAACACAATAATAAATGTGTGTCATGAATTCAATGATTAAGTTGGCAAACATTGTTTTAAACAATATTTCTATTGCCGGCCAACTGAGTATAAGTTGAACAAACTATGCCAAGCAAGCATATACTCTCTCATTCTTGGGGAACAGAGTATAGAGAGCAAAGTTAGTCAAGAGCGCACTACACTGAAATGGCATAGAGGCTAAGTGAAGAAGTGCAGAGCAAAGGGATTTTGGGTTTGTGGAAAATGGAAGAGGAGAATGCTAAACACTGCCACAATGCAACGCAACAATTTGCATGCCAACTGACGCGGATGCCAACTGCAAGCATATAGCAGCTGGGTTGCTGTTGCCTCCTGTTGTTGCCGCCGCACCTGGCAACAAAGCCCAAAAAATGGCCCAAGCTACAACTTCATTGTCCGACTGCATTGTGTGGCAGCAACTACTGCAGCAGCAGCTAAAGCACAACTGTAGTCGTGTATCGCTTTATTAACATCTTGAATGTGTGCTGCCGGGGGTGGCGAGGTAGAGATTGGTTGCTGTTGCAGCTATGCCCCATCATTAAAATACAATTTTCTGTGTCAGGTTCAAGCTGCAGCCCTGAAATAGACGCACAGCAAGGCTGCAGAGAAACAGAGAAAGAGGGAGAGAGAGACAGAGAAAGGAAGTGGGAGAATAGACGAGCAAGGTGAACGAGATATGGTGACAACGAACATGACTAGGAGACTAAAGGACTGCAGGACTGCAAACAGAACGATATTAGTGCATGTCCTTTTCGGGGGCAGCTTTTGTCGTTGCAAGGACCGAAAGCCTGAAGCCAGCAACCAGCAACCAGCAACCAACAAACCAGGAACCAGCGAACAACACGGCCATTAAACATGAACCTCGTTACGGCATCAATTTTACAGCTATTGTTGTTGTTTAGCTTTTTGGATGCGCCCTGCACTTGCCTGGCCACACTTAATGACTTTTGTGCACACACAACACACACACACACACACACATGCACCTGCCTGACCTTGTCTCTGGCTGATGCTGCTGTTTGGCAAACGTGTTCCTTGTTACATTTGCGGTCTGCATGCAGCAGACTGTGGCAACCACACACACACACACTCCACAGACACACACAGACACACCCCACACTCTAAGTAATAACTATTTTTCGTCAGCAATTAATTTGAAGTTTAACACGCATCGTTGCCAGCGCCCTCTCTTCTGCTGTGCAGACAAGGACAAGCAGCATTATTACATAATGTGGAGATGAAATTGCGACGAATAGCAGCAGGGAGGGGGCAGGCAGCATAAGTTGTACTGATTGTCTACGCAAAGACACACACACAGACACGAAGCTGAGCCGCTACTTAAACAACTGTGGGCAACACAGGACATAACACATAAGCCTAGGCGCAGCACATGATGCGTGCGAGCAAACAATTTCAAGGACTCCGTAAATGCAAACAGGTGATGACAACGGCAACGATGAAAGCGCTATAAACAAAATAATAACAAAACGCAAGCAACAGCAACAAGAGAGAGAAACGCCATACAGAGAGAAACAACGAGAGAGAGAAACATAGAAAGAGAGAGAGAGAGAGAGCGAACCAAAGCAACGCAGCACAAGGACTAAGCGAGGAAAGGGGGAGCACACTCTCTCAGTGGAGTGCGCAAACGCTGAGCTCCATTTCGAAATTCGAATTCGAGTTTGGTAAGTTGCCTTATAAGCGTGTCCTGGCCGCATGCTAAGCTTAGTCTAGTGCTGCCCATATGAGCGCAAGGACACGCGTTGTGTGTACCGGAAAAAAAAATCAAATAAAGCAGTGACTTGACCAAAAAGTGTTGTCAGAGTGTTGTGAAGCCGTCAATATACATATAAAACCAAAAACACAACAATACAATTAGCTGGCCGTCTTTGTTGGCCAACATGTAAATGGCCAAAAGCCGAGCACCTCCAACTGCGTGTGTGTGTGTAGTATGTGTGTATGTGTGTATATTGTTATTGTTGCTGCTGCTGTTTTGCTTGACTGTGGCTAGTTGTTGTTGCCGTTGCGTGCAAACGTCAAACTTTTTGGCAGACAGCCAGGCGTCAAATGTTGGCAACAGCTTACAAGCTGTGACTTTTGTTGTTCTTCTTCTAACCACCTCCACCCACCCCATCTCACCACTCACACACACACACGTAGGATGCTGTGGCCTCAGCTGGCATTATTTTCGTTTAGTCATTCATATTTATGTAGCATACTTTTGCAGGCAGCTAGTTTTTTTGTTCTGTTGATTTTTTAGACTGTTTTTTTTTTTTTTGTTCTTGTCAGTTTACCACACAAACTCATATTTTAGTTGGCTACATACATCAGTGTGTGTATGCGTGTGTGTGGCGCAAAAGCTGCTCATTTCCGCTGCAAAAAGCGGGCAACGGCAAACAGCCAAACAGTTACAGCTAGTCAGCTTAAGCATAGCTATGGCTTATTTTAGTCAACCTGAACTTCAATTTTAACTTGTGTTCAATTTACAGTGCTGAAAACTTAAAGCAAACAGTGCCTGCGACATAAACAAAACGAAGCAAACAAAGAAAAGACGGATTTCTCTCTCAAGCGAATAAAAAAAACCAAAACAAAGCAAAGCAAAAAAACAAAAAAAAAAACACAAAACAAAACAAAAAACCAAAAGCGAAACTTAAACGTCTGCATATTAATCAGAGCTGCCCTCCGAGCAGGACAACTTATCACCAAGGATTTGCAGGCGCCGCGCACAAAAGCCGCTTAGACATCGGGGACGGCAGTGTGCCCAAAGGCAACGCTAATCAACGGCCACAGGAACGAAGACAAAACCAGCTCCGCTATCCTCCTGCTGCTGATGGTGCTACTGTTGCTGGCCACGCCTCTTAGCCCCTCTTAGCCCGGCCTCAACATCAGCTAGCAAGTAGAAACGTCGCCTCATTTGGCCACTGTGGATTATGTTAATTAGGTAATTTTTGCTTTGATTACCACTACCGTGAATTTATATAGCAACCCCCATCCCCGCACCCATTACAATACACCCACTCATCCTGGTCATCCAAAACTCGCTACGCTTTGGGGCTGTCCACGTCGCTTACATATTTATGAAATTTTCATGTAAATCGAGCTAATTCATGCACATTTCACGACTCCTGCTCACTGCTCTTCTGTTTGCTCTTCTCGCTCTTCATCTTGCTGCTGCTGCTGCGAGTCCTGTCGCTATTTTTGTTTTTTCTACCTTAATTGCAAGATAATTTTTGAGTTTGCATTGCCCACACCGCCCTTTGACAGCCTTCTCATCAAGCACAAATATCAGAATAAAAAGTAAAGAACAGCAAGCATAATTAAAATGTGCTGAGAACTTTGTGCGTAAATTAGAAAAGTTGTCAAACAATATTCTTAAATTATGCATTTCATATTTGTGTTTGGTAAACCAAAATGGTTTTCATTTTTTGTGTTTTATATTTTTTATAATTAATCATTTTTCAGAGCAATCGCTTTTGACTGCAATTATGCTTATTTAATTGGTGTGGATGCTTCCATATAAAAATAGTGAATTGAATTAAAAATAGCACATAGCTAAATATTTTTGATAAACTTATTTGAAAGCATTATTTAAAGTACTTCCAGAGCAGTTATCACAAATGTTATTTAATAACTTTTGTGTCTGTCAAATATATCCAAGCTACAGTATTAAATAATTAATAAATAATTAATAGAAAGTCAAAAGAGCAAACGTGAACAGAATATTCAAGAGCACAGACCTTAGTTAATTGAGGAAAAGCCGGCAAATAATGGAAATTGTTGGCAGAATGGGAAACAATTTAGGCATATTATCGTTATATTTAACTCAATAAACATGTCTGCCACTTGTCAATCAGAAGGTTCAATTAATGCATAACTTAAGCCTGTCTGATACTCTATATCAACGTTCATTTCGCACAATTGAAAGGCCACAGGCAATAAGTGTCAGACAATCACAATTACACACAAGCACGGAGAAAGTTGGGGATGGAGAAAGGTGAAGACAGGAGAGATGAGAAAGTGCACGAAAGTAAAACATAACAAAACTTGGCAATTGTGGAAGAAGCAGTTGAAATGGAAACTAGCAGCTGCTATCGGCAGTGAAAACTTTGTTTGCTGATTATTTAATTAGAAAATCTTTTAGTTCAATTGGTAACCTGCGAGGGTTGAACGATAATTACGGAATCGGAATTAGAACCTAGCTTCAAAAGGCATATAAAAATTTAAAAACAAATTTAAAGACTTTATATCTTATAGTCTCTAAGATATGTTTGGCTAAATATCTTATCAAAATATATCATATGGGAAAGTAGATTTTGCCCTCTGCCTTCTACATTCCTTGGACAACTTCATTATACACTTATCTTATAAATTCCACAGTCATTTACACCCGACTGGTTCTCACTTATCTTTTCAAACTTTTGTATTATATCATTACGCACCGTAAAAATGCGTAGCTGAAATCCAAAGAAAAAATAGGACAACTACGAAAATATTTAACGGAAGCCTTATATCTTTCGTACCAGAATCGGAATCGGAATCTATATTCGTTTCACATTGACAACCAGGTTTATTCTGAATGCCAGGCAGCACAGTTGAAAGCAATGCAAGCTGGGAGAAAATCAATGAAATATGTTTATATATTTCTTTATGTAGAAAATAAAGATCAGAGTTGATAAAGTCAACTTATGTAACAAAAATAACCGAATTGAATGAGTATACAAATTAGTTGTTCTTAAGAATAATTGAACTGGAATTGTGAAATCAATTTGGTTGCGGCTTTTGTTTAAGTCCCATCATTATTGTCAAAACTTGAATTCTCATAGCTTAGTCTATGAAAACTTCAGTTTGAACACATTACACCAAATAAAAAACAAATATTTTAACTTTTTTACTTATTAACCTGCCCATGGAAACTACCAACCCAAAAGTTGGCTTTTTGTGGGGAATTCAGAACAGAATTCTGCGAGTATAAATCTCAAAAACTTTTCAACTGCTGCTGCACAAAAACAGTCGGAGCACATTAGATTACAGTTGTTGTTTCTGTTGTCGTTGTTTTTTTATTATTGTGTTTGTATTTGTTTTTGTGTCTGGCTCACGGGCACTTTATGATTTTCAATTTGAATTTATTGATTTTTGTATTGTTTGTGCAGAGTCATCTAAAATTCATGTGCACGCAGACAAATGACGAATGCAAATGCGGTCTGAAAATCCTTTGGGTAATTTTGAATATTTATGAGAGCACAAAAAGCGGAAAACGCATTCATAACTCAAATGGGTAGTTGTAGATTAAGAAATGCTAATTTCAGTATTATCTACCATAAAAACGGCAGGTAGCACTCCAAAAGTTATAAAGTCAAAGCGATTTGGGCCAATTAATGCAGCCACAATGTCTAATTAGACAACATCAAAAGTGCCGCCAGATGAGCAGATAACGCATACTAAAGTACTCACATACAAACAGCAGCCTTGGTTGAGATTTGAGCGACTTGTATTTGGGCTCAATTAAGCATGCCAGGGCGTTGGGCAAGTGGCTCTTCACCCAAAGCCAGCACAACACTGCGTATGAGTAATGCGGTGGCGACGCAAACAGCGCCCCCTTGGCACACAGCACTCCAAGCTGGGGGAGGAAGTAACGAATGGGGGTTTTGGCAAGCTCAAACACAATGGCAGAGCAACAGCCCCGAGTTCGGGCATCCTTGGGAACTTTTCCTTGCTCCACTTGAGCAGCATTGTTTACGGTTCGCCGGTGCTGCCAGTGTTGTTGCCCCTGCCGGCTGCAATCCGAGAGCATCGCATCAAGTTGTATGTATATAACAATCAAAATCGTTAGCTGGTACCCATTCGGGTTAAGCAGGTGGGCTGAAGGAGTGCTCGTGGCAGCTAGTTGAGCAGCATTCCAAGAGGTAGCATATAATCAAATATTTCTTTTATTTTGCGTACCGTCTTCAAAGCAATGTAAAGCACCGAATGAAAGTTGAGACCAGTCAGCAACCGCAGATATATTTTGAGCGGGGAATGGTGCAATTTGCATATTTATGAAGAAGCCAGTGGAAGCTGCACGAGCAGCGACAACGCTTTAAGCTGCCTCAAATTGAAAAACGCGTTCAGGGCGAAAGATACAAATGCAAATAGATGGCGGGTTTTGAGGGTTGTTCGTTGGGATTGGGAATCTCAGTGGAAGCAACAATAATCTGCGCTGATTTACGATTTACAGGCGCGAAATAGACAGACAACAACAATAGGGCGAGGGGGGTGGAGCGGGTGGAGCTGAAGGACGCTCAGCTTAAGCAGACAATTTGCGTACGCAATTTGCACAATTTGATGGGCGGCACACGCCTACACCCCAACCTCAACGCCAACGCCAACTTCCCACCACGTACACAACGACGACCCAGTTGTGAAATATTTTGGCAAAAGCGCAAAAACAAAACATTTTACACCGATTTTGATCGCTAGCATTTTGCCAACATTTTTTAAAGCACTTCAAATGCAAATGCAAAAAAGCACAAATCGCCGCTGATTTCTGTTGTTATTGTTGTCGTTGCGAAACCCATTTTGTATTTCATGAAATATTGCAGAGCCAGCAAAAAATATGTCACATTTATGTTGCCTACTACAAAGCATAAATGGAGCAATTGTTGTATTGATTTAAGTTTTATTTACAGCAAGCTGGCATATTGGAAGTTTTCTCAAAGCTCTCTTAGCAAATAATAGAAAGGCTTTGATTTGTTTGAAAGCAAAAAACTGGACAAGCCACATTTTGAAAATGATCTCTGGATTTTATTAGAATGTATTTCATATATTTTTCCTTTGTAGCTCATCCATAATCCACAATGAGTACATTTACTTGGTAATGCTGTAATATTTTCGAGCATAGCTCTTAGAATAATAATCTCTAAGGCACTGAGAAAAATAAATGCCATAAATTACTTGCAAATTTATAAATTTGCAAAGATCTTCGGAATAACACATATAATTAGATTCCATACGAGACTTTTATTTTCTAGCCACATTTATGACGAGTAATTATTACTTTCTTTAACTTTTCTCGCAGTGCACTTAACACATTGCACTATATGTAGACTTAAGGAAACTAGAGTACCATTTTGTTGCTCACAAAAAACTTGCTTGGCTCAAGCACTCAGACTTGAAATAATTGTATGAGGCATACATAAATGTATAAATGTATGTGTTCGTGTGTGTGGTAGTACAATGTACAAGGTACAAGGTAGTACAATGCAAATGGGATAGAATAAAAGCAAACAGGACGCACACTGGCAAATCTCACGTTAATGCCTAATCCTGACATTAAAGTGTTGCGCCAACAAAGTGATTTGTTGTAGACAAAGCGACCGCACTATGAGCTGCTCATGCTCCTGCTGCTGCTATTGCTGTTGCTGCTACCCCGAGGCAGAGCTTCCCCTGCTCCTAGCAGGCAGGCTAGAGAATGTGCCCCACAGAGAGTCGCTGTCAGTGGGGCTCTGAGCTCTGCGCTCTGCGGCACAAATGGCAACGAGGCATTGCAAATAATCTTTGCAGTAAATACGCAACAGCAACAACAACAACAACAACAAAAAAAGCAGAAACAGGGAGAGAAATGGTACCGAATGTGTCTGGGGATCATTATTTGCGCAAGTGGGAAACAAAACGTAGGCAAAACGAGCTACCCCCAATCCCCACCCAACCAAATGTCGCACATGACTGCGGCGAATGTGCGCGCTTGTGTGTGTGTGTGTGTGTGTGTGTGATGTGTGTGCGTGCCGGCGTGTATTTGAATGTGTAATTTAAGCATTAGAGCTGCGAAAAACCTGAACTTGTAAGACGCAGCAGCAGCCGCAGGAAACTGAACTCAAGCCGGCAAATGCCGACGCCACGCACAAAAAACGCACACACACACACACACACACACACACATACAGATACGAAAATTGAATAAATTAT